AAACGACTCAATGGCAGTAAGGTTTTTTTTTTTTTTTTTTTTTTTTCCCCTCTTTCTATTAGGGAGCTCTGGTGGCACAGTGCCTGAGACATTTGACTACTAAGCAGAAGGTTGGTGGTTCAAACCCACCAGCCACTCTGCAGAAGGAAGATGGGGCAATCTACTTTCATAAAGACATACCACCTTGGAAAGCCAACGGGGATCCCAATGAGTCGGAATCAACTGAATGGCAATGAGTAGTTTTTTGGTTTGGTTCTCTTTCTATTGGAGGATGTTCCACACCAAAATATTGTGAAGAGATGGGCTTTGAAAAGCTTGACTGGGAAGGCCATTTGGTGGTTTGAAAGCATGGGCTGCAGTCACATAGACCAGGTTCTAGCCTTGGCTGAGCCACTGGAACTTACATCTGGGTCTCAGCCTCCATTTGCATTTGTGAAATGGGATGTTGTTGTTGTTATGTGCCGTTGAGTCATCTCTGACTCACAGTGACCCCTCCTTGGGTTTCCGAGGTGGTATCACTATGGAAGTAGATTGCCCAACCTTCCTTCTGAGGAGTGGCTGTTGGGTTTGAACCACCAGCCTTCTGGTTAGCAGTCAAGTGCCTTAGGTACTACGTACCAGAGCTCCGTGAAATGGGATAACAAGGCCTAATTCCTACGTTTGTTCTGAGGCTTAAATGTTAAGACACAGAGTAAACATCTCTTTGTGGTTAGCTGCCGTCGAGTCAGCCTACAGCTCATAGGGCTTCCGCGTACAATGGGATGACACACTGCCCGGTCCTGCGCCATGTCCATGATCGGCTGCAGATCGGATCATCGTGATGCACAGGATGTTCACTGGCTAATTTTCAGAAGCAGACCTCCAGGCCTCTCTTCCTAGTCCATCTTAGTCTGGAAGCGTCACTGAAACCTGCTCAGCATCCTAGCAACAAACGCAGGCCTCCACTGACAGGCAGGTGGTGGCTGCACGTCAGTGCGTTGGCTGAGAACCAAACTTGAGTGTGCCTGTGGAAGGCAAGAATACTGCCCCTGAACCAACACACATCCAGAAAAACCAAACTCACTGCTCTCGACTTGGTCCTGACTCATAGCTACCACTCCTTGGGTTTCCTAGGCAGTATCACTACAGAAGTAGATTGCCCAGTCTTCCTTCCAAGGAGTGGCTGGGGGGTCTGAACCACCAGCCTTCTGGTTAGCAGTCAGATGCCTTAGGCACTACACACCATAGTGAGCTTTTATTTCTGTTCATGAGCCTGAAAGTGTTACTTTGGTGACTGTTGTTTTCTGGGCACAGCTCTTAGGGGCTTCCTTATCACACATATTAGGTTGTTTTTTCTTTAAATACTATTTTGGTTTTATTTTTAATATCATGGTAACTATATAGGAAACACATATTAAAAATAGGTTTTAATTGGATTCCTACAACAGAGTCTAAAGAGGCAGATTTTAAAATTACCATTTTCCAGCTAAAAAGCACAATGTCTATGAAGTTAATTTATCTGGACGGCTTACTTTGGTAATCTTTTGAAAATAGGGTGGGATTCTATGATAAAAGGCCCAGAAACTACAGGATGAATAAATTATTGGAATAAGGAAGGTAGCTACTGAGGAAGTCAGGGCAAAGGAGGGCAACTCGTATTTCAGGCGTCTGAACAGGTTGGAGAGATGACTCAGACACTCCAGAGAACAAAGGGCAGGTTCAGTTGAGTTACTTCTGCAAGTGAATTGAGGGCTAACGTGTTGCTATTGAGTTGTAATCTACTCCTGGAGGTGCCACGTGTGTCAGTGGAACTCTGCTCCATAGGTCCTTGAATAATTTCTTTTAGAAGGATCAGCACGAGGCTGGTTGCTATGAGGTGGAGGTTAAAGACGTTCCAAATGTCCAACTTTTCCAAACTGGTGTCTACTCCGTAATTTCTAACATCAACTCCTCCCCCTCCCCCAACTCTCCTTCCTGTCTCAGGGTTCTGTATTGTGCTGTAACGGCTCGCAGAACTCACAAACTGCCAAGGAAACAGTTCACATGGTGGTGGAGGCTGGGAGGCTGGCAATGCCCAGGTCCGTGGGTAGGTCTGGAGGATCTCCCCACTCACGTGGTTGGAAGGGCTGGCAAACCCAAGTCCAGGGGTTAGAAGATGGCGAACCAAACACAGGACTGGAGCAGGAGAAAGAACTTTCCCAGAAATTTCACATATATAAGGAGCTCTGGTAGCAGAGTGGCTGAGGCACTTGACTGCTAACCAGAAGGCTGGCGGTTCAAACCCACCAATCACTCCTCAGAAGGAAGGTTGGGCAATCTACTTCCGTAGTGATACTGCCTCGGAAACCCAAGGAGGGGTCGTTATGAGTCGGACGTTATGAGTCAGACAGACTCGAAGGCACATAACAACAATAATCCTTAAGGAAGCTAAGGGCGGTGACTTGTGTCACACCCTCCAGCCAGGTGGGACTCAAGATACAGCCCACCCTAAATAGGCATAGAGACTAGGATTTGCAGTACATTACAAACTGGAAGCTGATGGCTAGACGGGCCATACTGAGCAAGTCACTGCACTGCAGTGGAGTTTTCAATGGCTGATTTGTTGGAAGTGGATCACCAGACCTTTTGGAAGGCAGGCCCTCTGGGTGGACTTGACCATCTTTTTTGTTAGTAGCCCACCCTGTTGAATCATATGTACTGCCCAGAGATTCCAGGTTGGGGAATGGGAAACTGGAAATGCTTTTATTTCATAAAAGATTGACTGTTTCGTTTAAATGTAATTGAACTCTTGTTTTTACCTTTTAAAAGCTGGCTGATGGTTGACAGATATCTCTGTAGCTAACTGAGGAACGAAGACTGACTCAGGTAGCCAGGCCCTGGCCAAGAAGCAGGGTGAGCCTTTCTCAGCCTCCTTTCGCACCCCATTAAACCTAGTGCTGGGAGGGGAGGGGAGGCACCCAGGTGTGTCCTCAGCTTGCTCAGGCCAGGCTGCTTGGTGGAAAATGAGGATCCACATCACACTCCCGACAAGGACAACAGTTAGGGAGGCCCAAAGAGATGGGCATTGCATACATTTAGCTCTTATTGGGTGCCTGATACTAAGTTAGGCTCATTTAATCTTCACAATAATCCTGACAAGGTTTTTATTATCCTCATTTTACAGTTGAGGAAACAGACTCAGGATGAGTAACTTGCCTGTGGTTACACAGTTCATAAGGTGGCAGAGCTGGGGTTCAAACCCAGTTCTGAGTCATGCCAAAGTTCTTGGTCTTCCCTTGTCTCCAGGCTGTTTTCCAATCGTGTAAATAATTTCTTCAGGCTGTACTACAGTCAAGGATGAGGTCGGTGAGCTTCTTAAGCCTTTATTATTCAAGATGACCTATCTAGAACCAAGAAGGATAATTTAATTTTCATTTCCTGGACATGATGGGAGGGTAGTGACACAGAGCCTAATTTTTATTGAATTTTCTTATAAATTTCAGCCTTTGCCCATGATAGAAGAGATGGTCTTCTGCCCCACCTCTCTCTCTCTGTAGGTCCTTTGGGCAGTGGTCAGCTGTAATTGGTCTGTTTCATACTGTGATGAATTTTATAATTATATGGACTTGGTTGTGTCCCTGGAGTCTTGACAGTAGGCGGCGTGGCTGACTTCTCTCACTTGTACAAATGGGAAAGCAAACTGGTACCACACTGAGCACTTAGCATGTGCTGTGGCCACTGCTCTAAGTACTTTCTGTGTTTTCACTTAATCCTGACACTAACCCTACGAAGTAGGGTTCTAGCACCGGTTGGTAATTTTGCACATGAAGAAGCCAGGGCATGGAGGGTCGTCCAGCCAGTAAAGGGGTAATGTTGGGTGGAAGTGGGAGTCCAACCCTAGGAGCCAACTCCACAGCCTCTGTCTTACTGCCCTAAGCCTGGGCCTTAGCATCATGGAGAGCTGGTCCCTCTGCATGACACGGGTGAGTCACTTAACCTTTCTGTCTTTCTGCTTCCTCATCTGTGAAATGAGGAGGGTACAAGTAGCCTCAGGGGCTGCTGTGCTTACATTTCAGTGATGTCCTGCATACAGAGTGTTACAGCAGTGCTCATACATGTTCATTGCTCAACAGATTTGAGCTGCTGCTGCTGGCATTAGGACCAGTAGGACCTGGGTGTGCAGGTCTCCAGTGTGGACTTTAAAGCTGTCAGATCTGGGTTCTAATCCTGACTCTGCACTTAACACGAGTGACTTTATTTATTTATTTATTTTCCCTCCCACCTCTGGTAACCAACAAAGTTTCCTTCTATATATAAAGCTTGCCTTGACTTTTTATAATAATGAAGTAATACTATATGTGTCCTTCTGTGACTGACTTAGGAACTCTGGTTGCGTAGTGCCTAAGGCACTTGACTGCTTATCAGAAAGCTGGCGGTTCAAACTCACCAGCCACTCCTCGGAAGGAAGATTGAGCAACCTACTTCCGTAGTGATACTGCCTTGGAAACCCAAGGAGGGGTCACTATGAGTCAAATCTGACTCAACGGCAGTGAGTTTGGTTTTTGGTTTTGGTGATTGACTTATGTCACTCAGCATAATGTCCTCCAAGTTCATCCAAATTATGCAGTGTTGCAGATTCTACATTATTCTTTAGTGTGTATGTATTCCACTGTGTGTATATACCAAAGTTTGGTTATCCATTCTGTTGATGGGCACCTAGGTTGTTTCCATCTTTTTGCTCTTGTAAATAGGGCTGCAGTATCTGTTCTTAAACAGTCATTCTTACCTCATAGTCTGCTCTGAGTCTTAAGTGAGATAATACCTGTGTCTGACAAATAATAAGCACTTAATAAAGTTTGGCTGTCATTACTATTTCTCCGAGGTGCCCAGGGATAGTAGAGTGATTTCAGTCAGGAGACTCACCCCACTTGGGCTCCTGGAAGATGGAGCCACCAGGACCTGGCGTTTGTTGCGTTGCCAGGGTTTGGGGAAGGCGTGCTGAGCTGCTGATGCCCCTGCCTTTCTTCCTCAGAGCACCCAGGATGGGCACCCCAGCCTCTGTGGTGAGTGAGCCACCCCCCTGGCAGGCTCCAGCAGTGGCCCGGGGCCGCAAGCAGGCCTCAGCCAACATCTTCCAGGACGCTGAGCTGCTGCAGATCCAGGGTCTGTTTCAGCATGGTGGGGACCAGCTGGCTGAGGAACGGGCACAGATCATCTGGGAGTGTGCAGGGGACCACCGTGTGGCGGAGGCCTTGAGGCGGCTGCGCAGGAAGAAGCCCCCGCGGCAGAAGCACGTTGGCCACTCGCTCCACCACTGCAGACAGCTCAGGTGGGCGCCTGGGACTGGAAAGTGGAGGGAGAGTGCTGAGGATGCCTGCTGTCATTTCCCTTGCTGTGTGGTCCTGAGGTAGTTTTGATCTCGCTGTAAAGTCCTTACCATTGGGGTTCTTGTAAGGTCCCCACACTGCTTACCACTTGGTTGGCACTCAAAAGCCTGCCTTACTACTGGAGTCATTTATGGCCCTTTGAACGCCCATACATGTTTCTTCCCATGAGAAGGGGTACCTGGATCCTAGCAGCAGCATCTCATTTTGCCATGATTCTTAGCCAGGTGGGAGAGAGTATTGTTTGGGGAGGAGGAATCCATTTACCTGTTAAAGAATGCCAACATCCAAAAATAAGCCTGGCTAAAATCATGGGTGGCGGAATTACACAGAATATAACAAAGTACTGTAGAGGCATGTGTTAAAAATCATTGACTATGTCTTAAGGAGATAGCATCTCTCCCCGGTCCTCCACCTCTCTGCGTAAGTCGTTGCCAGCCCAGGAACAGTGAGCCCCAAGGGACCGAGCTGAACCACTGTGGCCTAAACTGATAACTATGGGTTCCACTCCTCCAAATGCCTTCTCTGGGGCCCACAATCGGAACATTAGGCTTGAGTGGGTCTTCCGAGACCGTCTGGTCCTGGGATAGCTTACCTGCTTCATTACTTGTATCAACTCCAGTTGATTAGTAATCACTGTGTAAAACACCTTGCTAATGAGAAAGATACTTGGTCCTCTAGTCACTTGAGGAAGTGGGAAGAAGAGTACCATGACTGATGAATGGTTCTGCCAAGCACAGGGAAGGGAATTTGGAGTGAGGTTGAGTACTGCACCCTGATCTAGTCCACACCCCTCCTTACAGCAGAGGGATCTGAATGCGTTTCCTCAGTCATGTAGCTTTCCCAGGAAAGTGTGCTTTTTACAGTCCCCCCTCCTAAAACCTTTTAGTAGTCCTCACTCTACCCTCCCTGTTGACGTTGGCTTGTCACATTGTTCCCTGCAGAGTCCCAGAGCCCTCCTCTCCACTGGCGGACCCACAGAGTAGTGCTGCAGAGACAGCCGCCAGTGAGCAGTGTCAGACCTCTAGGAGGACAAGTGCCAGGATCCGCCAGAACTGGAGGAAGCCAGGCCCCCCAAGCTACCTCCACCAGATCCGACACTGATCTGGGGAAGGGGCCGGGAATGGCAGGATCCTCTCCAGGAATTGTGGGGACTGCCACCAGAAGGCCTGGGGAGTGAAGAAAGAGAGACTTGAGGCAGGTGGCCCACGTGAGTAAATCAAAGAACTGCTGCCACTTGCCTGCTCAGTTCAGAACAGGACTGGAGGCTTCCACTAGGTTCCACATTATGTGGGACCCATTCCTCACCAGACAGAGAAGAACCGCAGGCCTTCCTGCCTCAGCCCTTCCCAAGCTAACACTATACCTGGGCTGCATACTCCCCTGGGAGGCAAGTGAGGAGCACGAAGACTCAGCCCATCATCACTCCTTCTGCTAATCCTGCTACTGTTGTCACCCACGGTCCAGCAGCCCATCCCACACAGCTGCCCCTTGTCAGGCCACCACAAGGACACTGGCATAAGTGGCAAATAAAAACATTTGCATCGAGAACTGTATGTCTGTCACAGAAGGGGAGGATTCTGAAACAGAGTCTCTTGAGGCTGGGGGGTGAAGGGTAGTACTCTTTGCAGGGAAGGAGTGCTTCCAGGAAGAAAACAGGGCTGCCCTCTTCTCATGCTACCACCTCAGGAGCTGCTGGTGCTGCAGCCTTCTGTGGCAGAGGCTGGCGATCGAGAGGAGAGGTGGGAACACCTCGCTAGCAGCCCTGATCCACAGGAGAGGCCAGGGTTCTGGGAGCCTCACCTGCAGAAAGCGGAAAGCTCTTCCAGTCAGCCTGGTGGTGGGCAGTGGGTCACCGGGTTGGAAGGATCTGCAAACTTCTCTGTGGGCAGACCTGACCGTCCTGAGGTCAGGCAACTGAACCAATCATTGAGCCTCCCGCTCTATCCTAGGGTTCCCAGGGCCTGGAAGGCCTTCAGCGGATTTTTCACTACCCTGGGTTCCCCTCAAAAACACTTATGTGCCCATTCATCTGTCCCCTTGACTCCCATCCTATGTGCTTGATCATCCACCACTCAAAGGAGCCAGGATCCAAAGTGCTCCCAATTGGGCAGTAAGGTACACACAGGACAGGACTGCCCTCTTGTGGTGAGAAGAGAAGCTACCACCCAAGTTTGGGTCCACACTCCCTTAGCAACCACACCGTTGGGGTTGGATGATGCTGGGATTCAAGGAAGTTTTTACTTTGAGGAAACAGTCAATATATATACTGTGTAATCCCAAGTAGGGGATCATCTCATAACTAAACATGAGTATTTCTGCAACAGATATTCACACTAAGGGATGCATAATAAATAGTCAGGTTTTACCATCAAGAAGTCAGGGGAAGTCACATTTGGGTATAAAATGAGTTATAAAAAAATACTTTGTTTTCTGAGCCAGTAGTCTGGAATTGAGGACTTGTATTTCCCTCTAAGGAGCACTGGTGGCATAGTGCCTAAGGCATTGGACTGGTAACCAGAAGGCTGGCGGTTCAAACCCACCAGCCACTCCTCAGAAGGAAGACTGGGCAATCTACTCCTGTAGTGATACTGCCTCAGAAGCCCAAGGAGGTGTCGCTATGAGTCAGAACCAACTTGATGACTAAGTTTGTTTTTATTTCCCCCAAAGGAGTCCTGGTGGTACAAATAGTTAAGCACGTGGCTGCTAACTCGAAGAGAGGTGGGTAGTAGGAACCCACCAGCTGCTCCGTGGAGAAAAGATCCGGTGATCTGCACCTGTAAAGATTACAGCCTAGGAAACCCTATGGGGCAGTTCTAGAATGTCATACATAGTTGCTATGAGTCTGTATAGACTGGATGGCACGTAACATTTCCCCCTAAGCCTCAGGAACCGTATCTCAGCAACCCCCTGGAGAAACGGGCTTTGGTCCCTAAAAGTACATTCTACCCTCTCCATCTCCCTTCCCACAAAGCAAGCTGAACAAAAAATACCAGAATTGGGTTTGTTATTCATACATTTGCATTGATTTAAATACATTACATACAATTTCTACAGTGCATTAGAACAATACGAGGGCACCAGCATTCCCGGCCTACCTCCACTCCCTGACCTCGGGGGACAGGGCCATGGCTGGCAGAGGGATGGGCTGTCAGGAGTGCCGCCCAGAGCCTGTCTTGGCCTTCTGGGCCACTGGCTCTCCCAAAGTCCACATTCAAGGCAAACTGAGTACAGGCTCCAAGGGAGAACAGAGACGGGCCAGGAAAGGGTACCCTGCATACTCTGCACTCTCACATTGGACCCAATTTCCTTCTGATCACAGCACTGGCTGAATCAGAACAGTGCGTCATCAGGCTTGGCTTGGCCGAATGAAGTAACCGGGCTCCTGTTCGGATGCCTCAGGCTCCCGCCTGCGAAGAGCTTCACCTCTGTGTAAAGTTGTCTGTGCAGAGGTACACACACATGGGTCTCCCTTTGCCTCCTGCAGTCTGAGGCAAGTACTCTCTCGGACAGCTTGCAAGGCCACTCTACGCTGGCTGGATGGGATTGTCAGGGCTGGGGTGGGGAGGGGATCTGCGCCTTCCTCCACAGGGCATGGGTATCCAGCTCTTGGTGACTCTTCCTGTCTGCCAGGTGGAAACGGGGCAAGGTGGCTCCCGGAGTTGGATGGAAGGGGACCAGCCTGGCTCAGCTGACGAGGGCTGCACCTCTCAACTCTGCCTCCTGGATCCCAGGAGCTGGACAAGCAGAGGGCACACCGCCGCAGTCCTCACTCCTCTTTGGTGGTTTTTCTAGCCTTTAAGATAGTTTCTTTCCAAGGCTGATTGACCAGTCGCAGGGCGCCAGAGCTGTGAAGTGTCTAGTAGCATAGGGCATGAGCACAGCTGCCCCTTAGCCACAGATGACACCCTTTCTAATCCCTCCTGAGGCTGTTCTTTGCTTTGGTGTAGAAAGGGCCTGGACACCTGGCAAGGGGGTAGCTAGGCAGAAGACTCTGGAAGCAGGAAGATGCACACTGAACTGGGTAGGGAATGAGGGACAGTTTGAAGGCCCCTCTCCTCTGGGCCCTGTCCTCACAAAGCCACGGAGAAACTGGCCTGGGACAAAGCAGTCCGAGACCACAGGGGAGCTGCCACTTAGGCGGCAGAGTACAAGGCCTGGCACTCCGTCGAGCAGCAGTGATAGCATAAAAAATAGTCCAAGAATCTAATATCCTGCCTTCTGAGCCGAGATCCACCCCAGAACCCAGAACTGAACCCCTAAGGGTTGGGGGAAAAATATGTAAAACAATAGGAACAAATGAGAGGACTGAAAGTTTTATCAGCTAGGGCCAAGGACTCAGGAAGTAAGGTGAGGCTAACTTCAACCAGAGACCAATCACAGTTCCCAGCATACACTTAGGCCATGTGGCTTGCTTTTACATGTTGGGGAATCTTCCTATTAAAATATAAATGACAACACCAGCCCCACCCATCTTTGCTTGGGTGATAGGTGAGCTGCAGCCTGGGCTAGAGAGGCTAGGTCCCTAGCAGGGCAGGAAGCAGAGAAGGTCTCTTATCATAAATTATCATATGTAGATAGATTCTCCTAAGTAGAAGTGCTGGGAGGTCTAGAACCAAAGTATCCCACAAAGAGAACCATGTTTGGAAGCTTCCAGCCAGCCTGGTAAGAGAAGACAACGACTTGGCAAAAACCCCATGGAATGATGTGGCTTATTTGACCTAGCAAGGAGTCACCTTGTTGCCTCTGACACAACCTGGGTTCACAGGAATATGCCTGGGTCCATGGAAACGTAGGTCTGGACTGGAGGTTCCTGACATTACAGGCCCTGGGGTTCTGCCTGGGTTTTGCTACTAGCATTTGAATTTTTGTTTTTGCTTTTTTTCTGATGCAGAATATAATCAATAATGAGTAATTGCAGCAGAGCAGGGAGGGCGTGGGATTTCCGGGCCCGCCATCAGAAGCCGCTGGGAGGGACTCCTTGCAGGGAGCGCCGGCCTTCCCCAGCACTCAGCAGGGCCCAGGAGCACCCACTGTCCCTCGGGGCTGTGCTTCTCCCTGTGCTGGGGAAAGCCCTGAGGGGGTGGTAAGCAGACAGGGAGGGCTCTTGAGGGCGCTGCTCTCCACAGGCTTCTCTGGCTTTTCCGGCAACCTGTTCTCCAGGCTTCCTCCCAGCCCAAGTCTATGTCCTCGGCCTGCTTGAGGGCTACCACCATGAGAAGAAGGGCTTCCGGCTCTGAAAGCTCTGCGTGTAGGACTCGCTGGCGGACCGTTGATGGGAACGAGCCGTCTCGACAATCACGGGTGGCATCTGGACAAGGTGCAGGGGACTCTTGTTGTCTTTCAGGGCCTGTGTTAGATTCAGGATCTGTAGTGGGGAAAACAAGATCAGTAAGGAAAGGCCTAGGGCCTCCAGGTCTGCATCTGAAGGGAGATTTGGCTCCTACGAGTCAATAAAAGCAACAATATGCTGATGGATAAGCAGGTAAGCCAGGCTATTTAAAAGGAGGGATGCAGGAGGGCCATAAAAGAAAATGGAAACCTTCTGTCTAATCATTTACAAATACAATGAAATCAAAGGCCTACTATTTCTTGCCTTTCCAGTTAGTAAAGACATAGAAGAGTACTCAGCATTGGGGCAAGTAAAGGAACAGGCACTGTTAGAAGACTTAAATGAGAAACTCTGAAAAAGGCAAGTTGAAGTAAGTATCAAAAGCTTAAAAGTGAACAGACCCTTGGACTCAGCAACTGCATTTATATCGGCTAAGGAAGGTTGGGCAATCCTACTTCCGTAGTGATACTGCCTCGGAAACCCAAGGAGGGGTCACCATGAGTCGGGGCCGACTCAACAGCAAACAACAAGGATAAAATCATGGATATGCACAAAATATTTAGCTTCAAAAAATGTAATGCAGTATTTTTTATGACAGTGAAATTGACCAAACATGCAGTCAAGATGAACTGGTAACTACTGGTGACTGGGATGTGAAAGTTGGAAACAAAGAAGCCGCATCATCTGTAGAAAGAGATGACGGAGCAGCTCAGATCATCAGTCAGCACAAGGCCAGGAGCTGACTGTGGAAGAGACCATCAACTGCTCTTATGCAAGTTCAAGCTGAAGCTGAAGAAAATTAAAACAAGTCTATGACAAGACCTTGATTGTGAACAATTACATCAGGGTAGGTTCACTCCTTCAACCAATCAACCATGGGAGATGGGAAGGACAGCATTTGTACAGGGAGATAGCTCAGAGGGAAGAAATGCAAAGGAAATAAGGACACAGGGAAAAGGTTACCACAGGAGGGAACAGGGAAGAAAGCTGTTAACACTGTCGGGATTGCAAATCAATTTCATGAAACAAAAAATGTATGAACTGTTGAATGGAAAATGAATTCGCTCTGTAAAACTTTCACCCAAATCACAATTTAAAAATTGTAAATTCAAAAAACAAAACATGACTTTGATTATAGCCTACCTGAATTTAGAGACCATCTGAAGAGTAGATTTGACACACCGTACACCAAAGACCAAAGACCAGATGAGTTGTGGGATGAAATCAAGTCCATCACACATAAAAAAAGCAAAAGATTATTAAAAAAACAGGAAAAGAAAGAAAAGACCACAATGGATATCAGAAGAGACTCTGAAATTTGCTCTTGAACAAATAGTAGCTAAAGAGAATGGAATAAATGATGAAAGACCAGAATGAAAGATTTCAAAGGGCAGCTTGAGAAACAAAGTAAAGTATTATAATGAAATGTGCAAAGACCTGGAATTAGAAAAACAAAAGGGAAGAAAGCACTTGGCATTTCTCAAGCTGAAAGAACTAAAGAAAAAAATCAAGGCTCGAGTTGTAATACTGAAAGATTCTATGGGCAAAATATTGAATGATGCACAAAGCATCAAAGGAAGATGGAAGAAATACACAGTGTCACTGTACCAAAAAAACTGATCAACATTCAACCATTTCAGGAGGTAGCACCTGATTAAGAACTGACAGTACTGAAGGAAGAAGTCCAAGCTGCACTGAAGGAACTGGCCAACAAGGCTCCAGGAATTGATGGAATACCTGAGATGTTTCAAATAAATGGATGCGGCACTGGAAGCACTCACTCACTTACATTAAGAAATTTGGAAGATAGGCAACTGACTGGAAGAGATCCATATTTGTGGCCATTCCAAAGAAAGGTGATCCCACAGAATATGGAAATTATCAAATAATATTAATATCACATGCAAGTAAAATTCTGCTGAAGATAATTCCAAAATGGTTGCAGCAGTATACTGAGAGTTCCCTAACAGCCAGCAATTCATGCTGGGCTCAGAAGAGGGTGTAGAACAAGGGATATCATTGCTAATATCAGATGGACCTTGGCTGAAAGCAAAAAATACCAGAAAGATGTTTATCTGTGTTTTATTGACTATGCAAAGGCATTCAATTATGTGGATCATAATAAATTATGGATAACATTGGGAAGAAAGGGAATTCAAGAGCACTTAATTGTGCTCATGAGGAACCTGTACATAAACCAAGAAGCAGTCATTTGAACAGAATAAGGGAATACTGATGGTTCAAAATCAGGAAAGGTATGCACCAGGGTTGTATCCTTTCAGCATACTTATTCGATCTCCATGCTGAGCAAATAATCCAAGAAGCTGCACTATATGAAAAAGAGTGCAGAATCAGGATTGAAGGAAGACTTAACAGCCTCCGACGTGCAGATGACATAACCTTGCCTGCTGATAGCAAAGAAGATTTAAAGCACTTATTGATGAAGATCAAAGACTACATACAGCCTTCAGTATGGATTACACCTCAACATAAAATCAAAATCCTCAAAACTGGACCAATAAGCAACATCATGATAAATGGAGAAAAGAGTGAAGTTGTCAAGGATTTCATTTTACTTGGATCCACAATCAACACCAATGGAAGCAGCAGTCAAGAAATCATATGCTGTATCACACTGGGCAAATCTGCTGCAAAAGATCTCTTTAAACTGTTAAAGAACAGTTAGTCCAAGCGAGTGGTACACCATGCGATCCTCAGCCTATATGACTATGAGACCAGAAGAACTAGATAGTGCCTGGCTATCAATGTCAACCACTCAGTAGGGGGATCTATGTAGGAGAGCCTTGATAAAATGGGAGAACAATGTGGAATAAAACTCAAAATCATTAAAAAAAAAAAAAAGGGACCAGGTTTGCTGGTCTGATAGAGTCTGGTAGAACCCCTGAGACTATGGCCCCTAGCTGCCCTTCAGGTCTGCATGTGAACTCACTCCTGTGGCTTCCAACCAAACAAAAGACAGGTATATGAGCTCAACATTTACATTAGGTAGAGATCCTCAGTTGGAGAGATCAATCATGGGAGAATAGAAGGGCTGTGTATGCACAGGGAGACAGCTCAGGAGGCAGGAGTGCATGGGAGGGAAGGACACAGGAAGAGGTAACTATGGGGAGGAAGTAGGAGGGGAACTGTTGCATTGTAGTCAATGTCATGAGACAAAGTGTATGTGAGATGCTGTATGGAAAGTGAATTTGCTATGTAAACTTTCACCCAAATCACAATAAAAATTAAAGAAAAAAAAATTTCATAAAGTGTTAAAGAACAAAGATGTCACTTCTTTGAAGACTAAGGTGTACCTGACCTGGGTCATGGTATTTTCCATAGCCCCATATACATGTGAGGGCTGGACAATGAATAAGGAAGCAGCAGAAGAACTGATGCATTTGACTTGTGGTGTTGGCGAAGAATACCGAAAATACCACGAAGTGCCAGAAGCACAAATAAATCTGTCTTGGAAGAAGTATGGCTGGGATGCTCCTCAGAAGTGAGAATGGCCAGAGTGTATCTAACGTACTTTGGTCATGTTGGAAGGGACTTGGAGAAGGATAACATGCTTGGTCAAGTAGGATCACTGAAAAAGGGGAAGACTATCAAAGAGATGGACTGACATGGTGGTTTCAACAAAGGGCTCAAGCGCAGCAAATATGTGGGAATGGCACAAGACCAGGCAGTGTTTCGTTCTGGTGTACTTTGGGTCACTAGGAGTCAGAAGCAACCCAAGTGATTTTTTGTTCCACATTGTTCTCCCTCTCTATCCAGGATTTCCTACATAGATCCCCCTCCGACTCAGAACCTAGTGTTTAACTAGCAAGCTACACTGCCTGCCTTGAGCAACTTAAGGACTGGGTTGTTACCAATGAATTATCTATCAGCTGGCACAGAGATGATCACAGAGTTGCACAAAGCCCTGGATAACACGGAAGAGGTAAGAGATTGGGAGAGCTACCTTTCCTCTCTCATGTGTCATGGCAGAGTCACCAATATGTATGTCACAGATTAAAAAGGGCTGCCAAACACATGCTTTACACACTTGCTCAACATGAGCATATACTCCCAGAGAGATCACAGGGAAGACATCCGGAAGAGGTCCCAGGCTTACCTGTCCCCGCATGACAGCAATCTGCTTATGGAACTGGCCCCTGTCGAAACCAGGATCTTTCTGCAAAAAAAAGAAGTGGAGATGGAATCCCTTAGAGTAGCCCATCTTTTTCCCCAATTAGCAACTTCCCAATAAAAAAAGCCTTGGAGAAGTTAACTAGCATCCCAGGCTCCCCTTGTTTCACAGATGAGGAAACAGAACAAGTAATTGTTCTAATTACGTCTCATTATTTGTTCTACGGAACTCAAGGCTCCTATTGCTCCAACTGGAAAGGGGAGCTCTGTGAATACACTGCAGCTACACGAAGCACAGGATATACACTAGTGCAACCCAGCATGGCTGTCAATTTCTTTCAACCAATTCAAACTAGGTCCTGTGGTCCACATGTGGGAATCTTGCTCTTCACTGGTTAACTCAAGTCAGAAGGCTATTAGCCATTCCCTTGCAGCTTGTATCAGGACCAATCAGAAATACCATTAGGAATTCCTTCTTTTATATGATAATAAGGCTGAAGTTCCCATGGCTAACCTTGAAGAGTTCATATAGGTCCTCCTCCAAATCCTTGACAAAATTAGGGTCCGAAATCTTTGGAAGAATCAGATCTTTGATCTCCTGAGAAAATGGGATTTTTGCCTGGGGCAACCAGGCCCAGTAAAAAGGATCTGAAAAGAAAAAGACCAAAAGTTAAGCTGGTGTTGAAAAGTGTCTGCCCATCTGTGTTCTCTGCCTATCATATCACTGCAAGAGATAGACCCTTTCTTTCCCTAATATGCAACAGAAAAGAAAACCTACACGGAGTTAACTCTAAAGTTACACTAGTAAGTGGAGGAACCAGGATTCAAACCTAGGTCTGCCTAATCCTGGAGCCTTGCTCTTTCCCAGATAGTACATGACCTTCCAAGTCCCAGCCTACCTAGAAGCAATTACTTGCCAATGAGACAAGTTGAGATGGTCCTTCTGAAGAGACAGTGTAGTGCTGCAAGAGGGCCCAGTGACACCCTACTTGTACTTCTCCCCATTTCCAAAAATTTCTTAGTTTTAACAGGGCAGAATATGACTTCTAAGATGTTAGCAAGGAAGACAGAACACAAACAGCAGCTTATATTTATAGATACAAAGAGATACGTTACAACAAGCCAGTCCTCAGAAAGAATGAGAAAAATGGAAAGGAGACATGAAAAAAACAAAACTTCATGCTTCTAATGGGAATAATATAAATTATAGTAGTTTACACTATGGAATAGTTGCCATGTGCCAGCCACTGTGTTGAAGTATATAACCTGTATTAATTCTTACAACAAGCCAATGATAGAAGTAGCATTATCTCTATTGCACAGGTAAGGAAACCAAGACTAAGCAAGAGAAGAACCAGACCACAGTGGTCTTGAGACTTACATGCCCTCCAGGAGTCAGGATGCTTCAGTGGGAAAGCCAGCCCATTGTCTATGGCAGCCACCTTGATAACAGGCTCCTTTACCACCACCCAGTCTGTGTCCTGAAAAGCAAGGAAAGACTAATTACTTAGAGATCACATCAGTCTCAGGCCTTTTAAGGAAGCAAAACAATCCATGTCAATTCCCTCAGCCACTCACCTTACTCAACTTAGTCTAAGCTACACTCTGAACTGCTTTCCATATTGTTACTTGAACTTAGTACATTTATGGTACCTCTGACCTGGCTTGTTCAAAGTTCTCAGAGTCCTTTTTTTATCTTAGGAAAATATACACTGCTCCAGAAGATACTCACCTTTGATAAGAAGAAAAATAACAAGAGATAACTATAAGCCATTACTCCTAGGGAAAAGCACTGAAAATCCTGAGAGTATGAGAAGAACAAAAATCAGTGTTAGTTGGCTATGGTCCTATTGTGTGGACCTTGACTCAGAAGCCACATCACTGGTGGTGACCACATTTTCCAGTGAGATAACAACCATGGAAGGTAACATTTGGCTGCTCTTGCTCAAGGGAGTCTGATCACCTGCTTCGGAGACACATACTAAGGAAAGGCACAAGAGCTGAAAGCAAGCAGTGGGGCAGGTCATATGTGACAGCCCTGATCAGGGGCTCTCAGGACTCCCTACTTCACGTTTCAGGTTCATCGGTGCCATCACAGGAGTAGGGACTGTGGTTCCAGGCCACTCACATCGGAATCCCTCAGGATACCTTATTAAAAATGTAGAATCCCAAGTTTCATCCTAGACCTGATAAATCAGTCTCTGGGGGAAAGTAATACAACAGAAAAGAAAATGTACACGTGTTAACCCTAAAGTTACACTAATAAGTGGAGGAACCAGGATTCAAACCCAGGTCTGCCTAATCCCGGAGTCTTGCTCTTTCCCAGACAGTACATGACCTTCCAAGTCCCAGCCTACCTAGAAACAATTATTTGCCAATGAGACAAGTTGAGATGGTCCTGAAAAGCCAGTGTAGTGCTGCAAGAGGGCCTAGTGACACCCTGCGTGTACTTCTGTGTTTGCACTACTTTTAGTGAGCTCTCTAGGCGATTCTGATGCACAGTTTGAGAACCACTACAGGCAGTCCCCGACTTATGATGTATTTGAGTTACAATGAGTCACTTACAAGACCAAACTTTTTTTAATATTGTTATTGTTAGTACTTTGTACTACAATGTTGCAGCTCATAATTTGCTAATGTTATCATTCTTATGCCAATCCCCAAAGACAAGTAAAGATCAGATTTATAAAGATACGGATAATAAAATGCAGTAATAATGAATACTTTAAAAAAAGAGAGGTCTCTGACTTAAATCAGAACCAACTTACAATGGAGTCATTGGAACAGAACCCCGTTATAAGCTGAAGACTGCCTCTATTAGAGAAGGAGGCAAAAACACGATGAGGAATAAAAGCCAATCTTACTCTCCTTCTCCAGGAAGCTGTCCTAATTTTAAAATCCACGAAGACTGGGCAATGATAGAGAAGTGTGGCAGAGGATGAAAGGACAAGAGAGTAAAGCAAGTGGCAGCTGACTCTATGCAAGGCTTCCGTGGAATTGTGGCCTGTTGTGAGAAAAGTGTTCCATGGTGAAAAAAGTGTAGAAATCACTGGGCCAGAATTAAATAGGTTCATTTAACGCAGTCCTTCTCAGACCTTTATTATGCTACTGCGCAATGTGGATCTCCAAGAAACAGGTACAGTATACAGATGTAGAATATGTTCTAAACTTTCCTGACTTCTTCATGCTATTCCTATTAACATCAATCAGAAGAATACTCCTTAACATACACTGAAGGCCCCTAATGTAAATTATGGACTTTAGTAAATAATAATGGATCAATATTGGTATCAATTGTAACAAATGTCCAACAGGAATATAAGATGTCAATAACAGCAAAACAGCCAACAAGAGGGAGAAAGAGTATACAGGAACTTGCTGTACTTTCTACACAATTTCACTGTAAATCTAAAACTCCTATAAAAATTAAAGTCAATTAAAAGAAAAAAAAAAGGATTGAAAAAGACAATAGCAAATATTAACTTTACTATCACTTTTAAACGTGTGCTGCTATCCTAATTCTTCTGAACTTAATGTGACCTAAGTCTCGGACCATTTATGCATTTTCATACTATGCAGATACTCTTCCTCATCCCATTCTTCAAGATAATAGATCAAACTCTTACCCGAGAATTAGAACTATCCATTGGGCAGTCATATTTAATTAGCCAGTTGTCATTGCCTCGATCTGTGGACAGAAACAAAGTTAGTACAGAAAACTGGGGTGACTTCCACGTCTAGTAATGATGGACTATGTATTTTGAATGCCTGGACCAACTATTCCAAAAACAATCATTAACAAGACCATGAAGAATTACAGTGTGAGGCTCTGGGAAAGGAAGGAAATCCAGAGGCAAGAGCCCAGCATTTGTGGATTCTTTTTGTAGAGCTGAGAGGTGATACAGTATTCTAATAGCTTTGTGGAGCTAGAGAGACAAAAATTGTAATCCAGTACCTATTAAGGGAGAAGAGAGCTTGGTAAATCACCCATGCTTTGGGTTAATACACAAAGAAGTACACCCACAAAGTAAGTCCAGCTTCCCCTCAATGCCTGAAATTGAAGTGATCCTAGATTGCTGGTGTCCCTAATGGCTTGACAAAAGCAAATATCTTTCTCCCGATAGCATTTATAACAGCATCCTAGCCTCCAAACATTTCTATAATTTTTAATATATGGTATCTGAGAATAAAAAATAGCCAGGAATAGAAAGAGAAAAGATGATATATGAGTGAACAACAACAAAAAAAACCCCAGAATATTAAAACAGACCGACAGGGGCTCCAAACATTAAAATGTTCAAGAAGATAAATGACAAGATTAAGAGCATCAGCAGAAAATAGTACTTGATTTAAAAAAAAAAAAGTAGGAATTCTAGAACTAAATTATACACTAATGAAAATGAAGAACTCAATAGATGAGTTTCACAGTAAATCACCCCACAGAAGGAGTGATTTGGAAGATAGGTCAGAAAAAAATAGCAGGATGACAGAGATGGGGAGAGGTGGGAAGGATGCATAAATGGATATATATTTAACATACATGTAGCTGGAATCCCAGTAGGAGAGGAGAATAAAATGAAGTAGAATTAGTATCTGAAGAAATAACAGCTGAGAATTTCCCAAAACAGACAAATAACTACAAACTACAGGTTCAAGGAGCCCTGTTAACTCCTAATAGGATAAATACACAGAAAATTACACCTTGGCATACCATAGTAAAATTGCTGAAAACCAAAGAGGGAAAACTTTAAAGAACGCAAGTGAAAAAGAGACAGATTACCTTCAAAGAAATAACAATAAATTGAAAACTGACCTCTTAACAGAAACCATGAAAGGAAGAAGACAATGGAACGCTTTACCACCCCTATCCCCTGCTAACTGCTGAAAGAAAATTAATTGCCAACCCTAAATTCTATACTCAGCAAAAATATCCTTCCAAAATAAAGGGGAAATAAAGACATAAAAACAGAATTCATCACCAGCAAACCAGTACTAAAATATTCTCCAGGTAAAAGGAAAACCCACTGCCACTGAGCTGATCCTGACTCACAGTGACCACCATAGGGTTTCCAAGGCTATACATCTTTTTTTTTTTTTTAGGATTTGGGTGAAGATTTACAGAGTAAATTCACTTTTCATACAGCAGT